CTTTTTCAATCCGCTAGCGATTTGGACCCTAACCGCTATCCGCTAGTTTCAAACCGCTAAATAAAAATTTTACCAAACACTTTAGTTGTAACGGTTTCGAAATATATAAATTTACCAAACACCTATATTTAACGATTTAAGTAAAACCGCTAACCACTACCCTAAAACCGCTATACCAAACGGGGCCTTAATCTCCATTTCAGGGCCACATATCTTTCCGGTTAAGTAATGGGAAATCCTTCTCCTACATGATCATTTTATCCGGGAAAAGCCATCTTTTTCTCAACAATTATCTTTGCCATTTGATCCAATATCCCTCCGTTATATAGGAACAGATTTGATAAATACTGATAACTCTCGGATATAGTATTAGAACGTAAAGATCTGTTAGATGAACTATTAGTTCTAAGCCATATATGGCGATGAATCAACAATTCAAAGTACTTTTCTTGTGAATTGTTGATAACAAACAGTTACACATAGATTTAGGATGATCTTTTTGAAAATTGTAAAACATTAATCATTAAAATTAAAGTGCGGTTGAGAAAGCCATCCATAATATATATATATATATATATATTTCGAAGGGTGTATCTGGTCCTACAATTAAAACGTATAAGTTAATGAATATGGCAGGGGTTGTTTCAACGGCGGGGTCGTCGGTTGATATTGTAATGTGTGTGTTACTTTCAAGGATTACCGCAATGAATTTTTATATATTTTAAAATAAATCTGTTTTCATACTTTTTTTTTAGTTGAATGAAATTAATTTTTTTATATTTTAAATGAAATAAGTTAGCCAAATTTAACATGACAATTATATGTTATCATTTTGTTTTTTCCCTTCCATATCTAAGTCTTTCCATTATATGTTATAATACAAAGCAGTTGCGCAATTATTGATCATTTTATAATAATAAACTAATTTTGCGGCTTTCTTATTGTAACCTTGTTGGATATCTTTTTGCAGATTCATTTTATTGACATTTTCCAAGCACCTTCCAGGAAACTTCCAGTTATAATTTGGACAAGTTCTCTCCTCTTCTGCTTAGCCGGCTCACTTTTTATCATCTCACTGAATTAGCCTTGCAATTGAACTGATTTGCTGCTACATCTAATTCTCTTGGGCTAGCTTTCTTGGTTATCGGTATCCATTGTCTCCAATTTCTTCGGTGAAACATACAGGTACACCATCTAAATTTTCTATCTTGATTAAGTTATGTTCTCTTTTAGATATAAATGAAAATATTTAATTTTTTTCAAATGCGCATGACCTTATTAGCAAAGACTCTTTACTCTAATTAGGATATTCTTCATTTTTAAATTGTTTTTAAATTGCCACTTGTAACTTGGTTGGCTTAATTTGGTTATCCACGTCCATTTCTTCAATTTCTTCTGCTAAAATCGTAGGTAACACTAATTTAATTATCTTGATCTTTAATCATGACTTTGTCATGTCCTTATTGATGTATGAAGATGAATGACTTAAATTCAACCTTTCAGGTGACTCTGTTATCTAAGGAAAGATCCAATTAATTACACTACTAGAAAAATGGCTATATAGTGTCAAATAGTTAATATATGATATCAAAATTTTAATTGACACAAGATTAGTGTTGTCAAATACCTACATAAAATAAACTTGTATCAAATAATATTTTACGCTGCATTCAAAAAAATATAAACATTTGACATACTTGACACCGCAAAGTGATGCAAAATAATTTACTAACAGTCAATGTTCAAGTGTTATGTTGACTGCATACGTGTATTTGACATCACATACTATAGTTTCAAATGTTTTTCTATAGAATAAAAAAAAAAAATCATTCTCTACTTTGGTAATATTACAC